GTGTGTAGGTGCTGGCTTTTAAAGTTATTCATTTGTCGACTTGCTTAGATAAATATTTCCTTATATTTCACCCATCAGTCACCGTCATTTTTCCTAAAGGAGACATCAGGTGGCTCTTTCATAGATTCAGACTTCAGAGCCCTGACAGAAGGAACTTGCTTTAGTTTAGGGCGTAAATTTAACACAAATGTGTTAGTGTGTTAATGTGTTATTTTATTTTACTTTTATTTCTGTACTGGGAATCAAACTCACAACCTTGTGTTGGCGCTTATGCCGCTGAGATATATCCCCGGCCAGTGTGTTAATGTTTATCCAAATGTGACTTGATTTACACGGGTCAAGGCAGAGTAAGGTAATGGTTAAGAGCGCAAGCCGCGAGTCGGACAGAATTCTGTTCATACATGTAGCATTGACCAGTTGTATAGTCAAGAGGAAACGATCCGACCTGCTGGGTTTCGCTGTTCTCATCTGGCAAAGGAGGGCAGTATTATTATTTTATCAGAGCCTGTCGAACTGTTTTGGAGACTGAAAGCCAGTACGCGTGCCTGCAACCCCAGCACTTGGGAGGCTGTGGGAAGAGCATGGCTCGTTACTTGGAGGGCAGCCTGCCTGAGCGAAGGGAGTTCAAGCCGGGCCTGGATTATCGTAAAACGCTTTCTCAAAAAATGAAAGATAAATACATGTTAAAAGCTAGTACGTATAAAGTCTGTAAAATAATGGTTGGCACATAGGTAAGTGTTCATTTATGTTGGAAATCCAGGGGCCAGGGATATAACTCAGTGGCACAAGCGCCTGGCTGGCAAGTGCAAGGTCCTAAGTTTGATTCTCCGTACCATTAAAAAAAAAAAAAAAAAAGAAATTAATATTGTCTCCTTCCTGCCATGGAAAGACGCATAAAAGGGATAATTACCTAAACCCTGATCTTTTTTCCTAGGGCTCAATTTCATTCCTATATCTCAGTTTGTGATATTTCTTGCAGCCTCCCCAAGGTTTCCATGGAAATGATCCTCAGAAAATCAGGGATCTGAATTAGTTCTTTGGTTTCCAGTTATCCACAGTTTTTATTTTTAGGAGTTTACTATTCAGGTCAGCCTGTATTTAAAGAGCGAGTGTGTGGAGATGGAGCTCTACGCTGAAGGTTGTACAAACTAGCTAGCATAATGGAGGTGGAGATTGGGATGTGTGTAAATAACTGTAGTAATGGTAGGACATTACTAGAAAAGAGGGGTTAGCAAAATTGTTGGGTTAGTATCCCTTAGTTTTTGTGGGCTGATGAATAAAAAGAGGCGAATTCTCTCCCAGAATTCAAGATTCTATCTGGACTAAAAGGAAGACCTTCTCTGGGTGGCCCATATTTACTTGGTCATCAGAAGGGAGGGGTGTACTCAAGAAGGGTGGAGTCACTCAAGGACTTCTCCAAGTAAGGTATTAAATTAATCCACCCAGGAGTGAGATTCCTGAGGCTATAGTCTTTTTCCACTTGAGATCACATCCAGGTGTCCTTGGTTGTGATCTTGTCTTATCCTTTGAGTCTTTCCGACTTCATCTGCCATTGCAAGCCTTAGTAACTTGATAGCAATGGGAAGCTGCCAAAGATTTTGTAACTATGCTGAGAGAAGAGTAAGATTTGAATTAGGTGAATGTTAAGGGTAGGGAGATCCTTAGCAAACTGTTGCAGAATCTTGTAAAACACCCAAATTAATAGACACATGAAAGATGTTCTTTGTAGGATTCCCGGGGTCTGTGGAGTTGGAAGGGCTCTCACCAGGAGGGGTGCCATGGAGTGCATAACTTGCAGCCAGACTGAGCAAGTTAGCGAGAACCTGTCTCAAAATAAAAAGGGTTGGGGACCTAGCTCAGCACTCCATGGATTCAGTTACTAGACCCACAAAAAAGTAAAAGCGTAGAGGTATTTGTCTTCATGTGGATCGAACTTTAAACCATAGCACTTAGTGAAAAGAGGAGACAGTGTAACACCTGTAAAAAAAAATTATCCAACTTGGAAGTAATGCGAAAAAAATGGCCACGTGGCCTATATTATCACACTACCACATATGTCCTCCAGTGAGGGTCCACATTTGCGCTTAGAACCATAGTTTGTAACCCTTTGGGGGCAGGAATAGTCTGAGGTTGGCAGTAGGTGAGCAGGCAGCTTTGGGTTGGTAATGGTACAGATGTTGAGCTAGAGTCAGTCCGCTGTGTCAGTAGCCACACTACTTACCTAGTCCAGCTGGTGTGACTTCCCCTATGGAGGAAACAGCCTTTGGTGTAGGTCCTTGCACTTCAGTAGCACTGCTTTAGGGGATCCTTTGATCTGGGAAA